CCCTCGTGACCCCGCTCAGGGACTAAGCGGTAGAAAATGAATGAATGAATGAATATTTAAAAATGCAACACATTTAAATTGGTGAGACTATGCTTTCTTGTCTTCAGTCACATTTCAAAAATAATCAAAGCATTAACAATGGTGAAAATGTAGCACAAAGCTGAGTCTTTTCTCTGCAGAAGCTCCTGGTTGTTCAGGTGGTACAGTAGATACATGCTGCGGTACCTCATCTGCTCCTCTTGCTGTCTGCCGTCTGCTGTGCTACATGCATATGAATGATTTTTGGTACATCTTTCTTCCTGACAGTTAAAACAGTCACTGCTTCTGCAGAGAGTAACCAGGACAGTCTACAGACATGAATCGACAAGAGTTAGCTGCTTGGAAGCTTCACAAGTCCATTGCTTATGTTTCCTGAAGCTGACAATGATCAACCAGTATCCCATAAAATGTAAACACATAATTGATCCTCAGCAGACAACTTTTCACCTCCATACTGCCTTGACTGCAGTCAAGAAAATCTGACCGATGAGTACACTGTGGACTGGACTGGTTCTCTGGTGGCTCCCTGTTGCCTCCGTGCATCGTGGGAAATGTCTGCATACACCAACTGTAAATTGATTCATAAAAAAATGGTCACATGCACCAACTGAAAGGTATATTCGAGACTAGCTGTGTGAAAAAAATAACATTCAGAGCACTGTAACAAACATCCTGTCTCGAAACAAGACATTCACCTACCTCAGTCTCAGGCTGCTGGGGGTGGGGGGGAGCTGTGAGATGCAAAACAGTTTTAACAATATCACAGTAACATTCATGTCAGTGTTACAATCTGTATATAAAAGTAAGAACAGAAAATGCCTATGTGAGAAGAGGTGTTTTGTCCCTGTGGTACAGAGCCTTGAGGTGGAGTCCGCGGAGCCAGATGTGGTTGGTCTCTATACCCACCTATATATCTGGAACATGTCCTGGGAAGTGGCTGAGGCTTGACCTCTGAACTCAGACAACGAACCAATCCCAGAATGATGGGAAGACAAACAAAAGCACCAGCACAGACCAAACCCCTATGCAACAAATTCCTCCCAGAGGGGGCAGCTAGGGTAGGACGCAGAAGAACAAAAGCAATTTTACTCATTAGTTAAAATGCATATGCATACATGCCTGTACACACAGGATAATGCATATTTAGTCAACATATTTTTTTGATTCTACGAACCTTTCACATACATCCAGTGTCCCAAATCAGTGTTGCCTTGACTCCATGTAACGGTACACCTATAGGAACCTTCATCCAATTGGCTGACTGTCAGGAAATGCAAAAGCAGGCGCGTTTCGTTTGCAGAGACTGTCACATTAGTCAAATTATGACGATCAGAGTTTTCAACAGTCTTTTCCTCAGTTGAATTTTTCCATATCCAGTTCCCTGTCCAGGTGTCCCCACAGTGCTGGACCACACAGGACAGAGATAGAGTGCCCCCTTGTGGTGCATAAAAAGTGGCACGTCTGGCCTGAATACTCTGGCTGCATTCTTCAGCAGAGACCTGGAAAAGGGAAGTCTCGTTTTGGTCATTATAGTGCAACAAGGATAGACATTGAATGTTGTCCTTTTGTATGAGGGAGACTTTCCTTTCAAATTTTCTTCACAGTATGAGACTATTAAGACCAGTATTCAGTTATTCCATGTCACAGATAGTAATGAACCCCATCGAATTGAATAGGAAAGTGTGTCCAAACCTTTGACTGATAGTGTGTATACATCTCAGTACATGAAACATATCAACAACATTTTAAAATATCTTACAGTATGTGACTTACTTTCACCGCATCCTCTTCAATAAAGCTGCATCTGACATAAGTCTGTGTAGTCTTTCTCAAATGTAATATAATTTGTGTGTACGTGGGTGGGGATTTCCTTTGTATATAATAATCATTAATTTGAATAGGATTTCAGATTTGCAACAATTAAAACATGTTACTTACCAGTAAGAAGAATGTGCAGCTAATAGCAGTGAAGAGAGAGTCACACATGTCTGACAGCGATGGTGCTGTTTAAGGTTCATCACAGGTTGGTTTTACTTCCTCTGATCTACATGCCCTGGTTTCTTTGCAAAAACTCAGTGCTGTGTGAAATCGTAGTCTGTTATTTGGAATCTAGTGGCTCACTCTCTCACTTTCATTTCCTATTTTCAACAATCTGACAGACTTCCCTTCGTCCAGAGCGAAGTAGAGGTAGAGGAAGGAAATTATCCATTAATCAATCCCCTCCCCCCTCCCCTCCACACACACACACGAGGCTCACATACTAAATTACAGGAAAGTAATGACTTCATAGTGGGAATATGAACTTTGCAATAGGAAAGGGGCCAATTGTAATGAACCACAATATATAGAAACAAAAACTGAGCAATACTGATGTATATACATTAAATTCCTGTCAGCTGGTTGATCTGTGATGTATAGTGACCCCGATGAAGGTCACATATGGCTCTCACAGTAATGTTTATTTTTTAAGTGTTTGAGTTTTATCCTCAGCTTGCTGCGTTCCAACAGCTTTTGCATTGTGTGTAATGGGTTAGATGTTATAACAGCACATAGGCTGAGAAAGATATGTTCCTTCAAAATAAAAGAACCTTCTCTACATTTTTGACATTGTTACACCACAACTTTGGATTACTGATAAATAATAACTGTGCATTTTGTAAGCAGTTACTCTAAGTTTGACTTTGACCTTTTATGTTTGTGTTTGTAATGTTGCTCCAGCATTGGTGATGTGTTGAAATAACACAAGAAGTAGGAATAGTGCAAGCAAAAATAAAACCTCTGGAAAGTCCTGTTAATTGGATAGATGATTTTCTTTTATTTTTTCATTTTCACCCTATTTGCTTCTGGGCTCATGTGTGGTGAGATGGGTGGGAAAGGGGGCGGGGGTCCTTTTATAGTACAGATAGCAAACCCCGCCCAGTGGACACGTCAAAGACCGACCGCCAGTCCATGGACGAATGATCTCACTGGCTGACTGTCGGTGAATGAGATAAACAAAGAGGCAGTGATTATTCAGACAAACAGACAACGCTTCCCAAGATCCACAGGAAGATGGAAACTGGTAGGTTGAGTGCCACTTTCTCTTGTTTCAGTCATGGTGGTTTGGTCGCCGGCAGCGTGCATTTGACAGCTACAGGATGACAACTGAGGGAGCTAACAAGCTAAATTAGCAGTCATTGTATTAGCCCATCCTGCTAGCATGACTTTGCCGTCGTTTTCTTTCTAGCTTTCTAACTAGGTTGACAGTTCATGGCCATAGATTACCAGTAAGGTACGGAAACCCAGACTGTACTACCTGAATGTGAATAGACAGAGACAGTCAACACATTTGAAATGATGGGCTAAACTCTTTTGTCAGCTTCATAAAATGGGGATGTTAGCATGTGTAGGTAGCTAGTCAGTGGAGTTGGCAATGCCAGAAGCTGTCAAACCTCATGATTCTCATTTGCTCTGACAAAAATGCAACACATTTAAATTGGTGAGACTATGCTTTCTTGTCTTCAGTCACATTTCAAAAATAATCAAAGCATTAACAATGGTGAAAATGTAGCACAAAGCTGAGTCTTTTCTCTGCAGAAGCTCCTGGTTGTTCAGGTGGTACAGTAGATACATGCTGCGGTACCTCATCTGCTCCTCTTGCTGTCTGCCGTCTGCTGTGCTACATGCATATGAATGATTTTTGGTACATCTTTCTTCCTGACAGTTAAAACAGTCACTGCTTCTGCAGAGAGTAACCAGGACAGTCTACAGACATGAATCGACAAGAGTTAGCTGCTTGGAAGCTTCACAAGTCCATTGCTTATGTTTCCTGAAGCTGACAATGATCAACCAGTATCCCATAAAATGTAAACACATAATTGATCCTCAGCAGACAACTTTTCACCTCCATACTGCCTTGACTGCAGTCAAGAAAATCTGACCGATGAGTACACTGTGGACTGGACTGGTTCTCTGGTGGCTCCCTGTTGCCTCCGTGCATCGTGGGAAATGTCTGCATACACCAACTGTAAATTGATTCATAAAAAAATGGTCACATGCACCAACTGAAAGGTATATTCGAGACTAGCTGTGTGAAAAAAATAACATTCAGAGCACTGTAACAAACATCCTGTCTCGAAACAAGACATTCACCTACCTCAGTCTCAGGCTGCTGGGGGTGGGGGGGAGCTGTGAGATGCAAAACAGTTTTAACAATATCACAGTAACATTCATGTCAGTGTTACAATCTGTATATAAAAGTAAGAACAGAAAATGCCTATGTGAGAAGAGGTGTTTTGTCCCTGTGGTACAGAGCCTTGAGGTGGAGTCCGCGGAGCCAGATGTGGTTGGTCTCTATACCCACCTATATATCTGGAACATGTCCTGGGAAGTGGCTGAGGCTTGACCTCTGAACTCAGACAACGAACCAATCCCAGAATGATGGGAAGACAAACAAAAGCACCAGCACAGACCAAACCCCTATGCAACAAATTCCTCCCAGAGGGGGCAGCTAGGGTAGGACGCAGAAGAACAAAAGCAATTTTACTCATTAGTTAAAATGCATATGCATACATGCCTGTACACACAGGATAATGCATATTTAGTCAACATATTTTTTTGATTCTACGAACCTTTCACATACATCCAGTGTCCCAAATCAGTGTTGCCTTGACTCCATGTAACGGTACACCTATAGGAACCTTCATCCAATTGGCTGACTGTCAGGAAATGCAAAAGCAGGCGCGTTTCGTTTGCAGAGACTGTCACATTAGTCAAATTATGACGATCAGAGTTTTCAACAGTCTTTTCCTCAGTTGAATTTTTCCATATCCAGTTCCCTGTCCAGGTGTCCCCACAGTGCTGGACCACACAGGACAGAGATAGAGTGCCCCCTTGTGGTGCATAAAAAGTGGCACGTCTGGCCTGAATACTCTGGCTGCATTCTTCAGCAGAGACCTGGAAAAGGGAAGTCTCGTTTTGGTCATTATAGTGCAACAAGGATAGACATTGAATGTTGTCCTTTTGTATGAGGGAGACTTTCCTTTCAAATTTTCTTCACAGTATGAGACTATTAAGACCAGTATTCAGTTATTCCATGTCACAGATAGTAATGAACCCCATCGAATTGAATAGGAAAGTGTGTCCAAACCTTTGACTGATAGTGTGTATACATCTCAGTACATGAAACATATCAACAACATTTTAAAATATCTTACAGTATGTGACTTACTTTCACCGCATCCTCTTCAATAAAGCTGCATCTGACATAAGTCTGTGTAGTCTTTCTCAAATGTAATATAATTTGTGTGTACGTGGGTGGGGATTTCCTTTGTATATAATAATCATTAATTTGAATAGGATTTCAGATTTGCAACAATTAAAACATGTTACTTACCAGTAAGAAGAATGTGCAGCTAATAGCAGTGAAGAGAGAGTCACACATGTCTGACAGCGATGGTGCTGTTTAAGGTTCATCACAGGTTGGTTTTACTTCCTCTGATCTACATGCCCTGGTTTCTTTGCAAAAACTCAGTGCTGTGTGAAATCGTAGTCTGTTATTTGGAATCTAGTGGCTCACTCTCTCACTTTCATTTCCTATTTTCAACAATCTGACAGACTTCCCTTCGTCCAGAGCGAAGTAGAGGTAGAGGAAGGAAATTATCCATTAATCAATCCCCTCCCCCCTCCCCTCCACACACACACACGAGGCTCACATACTAAATTACAGGAAAGTAATGACTTCATAGTGGGAATATGAACTTTGCAATAGGAAAGGGGCCAATTGTAATGAACCACAATATATAGAAACAAAAACTGAGCAATACTGATGTATATACATTAAATTCCTGTCAGCTGGTTGATCTGTGATGTATAGTGACCCCGATGAAGGTCACATATGGCTCTCACAGTAATGTTTATTTTTTAAGTGTTTGAGTTTTATCCTCAGCTTGCTGCGTTCCAACAGCTTTTGCATTGTGTGTAATGGGTTAGATGTTATAACAGCACATAGGCTGAGAAAGATATGTTCCTTCAAAATAAAAGAACCTTCTCTACATTTTTGACATTGTTACACCACAACTTTGGATTACTGATAAATAATAACTGTGCATTTTGTAAGCAGTTACTCTAAGTTTGACTTTGACCTTTTATGTTTGTGTTTGTAATGTTGCTCCAGCATTGGTGATGTGTTGAAATAACACAAGAAGTAGGAATAGTGCAAGCAAAAATAAAACCTCTGGAAAGTCCTGTTAATTGGATAGATGATTTTCTTTTATTTTTTCATTTTCACCCTATTTGCTTCTGGGCTCATGTGTGGTGAGATGGGTGGGAAAGGGGGCGGGGGTCCTTTTATAGTACAGATAGCAAACCCCGCCCAGTGGACACGTCAAAGACCGACCGCCAGCCCATGGACGACTG